TCTATATATATATATATATATATATATATATATATATATATATATATAAAAGGAGTTTATCCGAATCCTCTTTAGTGGAAAATTATATTATTTATATATGATTAAAATAAGTTTTTATATATATATATAGTAGATGTGGAACCTCCTTCGGCTATCTATTATTACAGATTTTGAACCATTTATTGAAAATTCTGATTCCGTCTCTGACTATAACAATTTATAAATTTTAAATTTTAAATTCATTTTTATTGTACCTAACATCTTACGTATCATGTATAAGAGTTACGATTAATACAAGACTCAAAAAATATTTAAGTAAATTAACTATACATCTTTTTAATTTAATTTTTAGAAGATTAATTTTCTTGATTAAACTCTCGTCGACACAAATTTTAAATTTTTTTTTTAATTTTATTTTTCTTGATTAAACTCTGTATCAAATCACGTAAAGACATTAAATCAAAATGAAAGGATTAAATAACTAAACCTCCGTCGCAATCACCATCTTCTGTTTGTCAGTAATTTATATTAAATTGCGTGATTATTTCATTTAAAAATATTGGTATAATAATTTTATTTTATACATTTTTAGCACTCTCGTCACATTCAGAATTCTTTTAGTTTGATTTTAATAATATTAAAATCGATTAAGTTAATTTTGATAATTTTAAATTCAATCACAACTAATCTAATAAATATATATTATATTTGATTTGATTTAATTATTATAATTTAAAATTAATAAAATTAATTTAATTTTAATCTTAATTAATAACCAATCCAAACTGATCCACGAACGTCCCGAACGACTACTAAGAAACTTGAATCCACGATATGTTGAAGCTAGACATAATTAGTTAGTTAATTTAGTATGATTGGATTACAATTAAGGAAATTTGTTTTCCAAAAACATTTCTGTTAGGTTTTTTTCAAAGCCTACCTAATTATATTAATTAATTGTGGGGAATTACACGTGTCATAACCCCCTTCCCGAGTAAAAGAAGAAAAAACATAAAAATTAAATAGGATGTAATATGGGACACTAGCTAGGTAGGCAAAACTCAACAGGATCAAGAAATAAATACTAACGATACGGTGGAGCAGTAAGTATTCTTTAACAAAAATAATTATTTTGAATATCAAATCATTTTTAATAAAAGAATATTTTATGCTCAAAATAAGATATTTCAATGTAAATATATATGAATTAATTCAATTTAAAGAAAGAAGTATTGACAATCAAATTTTTAAAAAATGTAATACAAGTCATCAATAATTTGAACCTTTTATGTATACACAATTCTATGGAGTATTTTTTAACTTTCTATTAGGGTGTTATTGGCACAAAAGGGTATTTTTTTCCCACAAAAATGTCTTTCTTAAAAAATAAGTGATATTAATTAATAATAATGCACTATAAAATACTTATACCATTAATTCCTTATAATAATAATCCGATTATATTGTTATTTTCTTAATTATGTAGTGGAAGACAGGTGTTAATTTATGCATTTCAAGAAAATTAGTTCTGTTAAGTGAAGTTGCTTAACAAAATTGTTCTGCCAGCCTAACTTAAGTAAGTTGGGTTGAGGGGGTGGTGCAAAATTAACTTTGTTTTTTTTTTCTCATTCAAGGTCGGAGTTTACATCAGAGTTTCGACTAAATTTAAATCACGTCCTGCATGATCTATTCGGGTGTGGCACTCCCAACAAGATTTTATCTCTATCCAGGCTCGAACCCGAGACACTTGGATCACCCTGGGTTCAGAGGCGACATTGGAGCTCCGACTAAATTCTAATCGCACTCTACAGGACTCATTCGGATGTGGCGCTCCCAATAAGATTTTTTTCCCTATCCAGAGCTCGAACTTGAGACATCTTGTTAAGGGTGAAGCAAAATCGGCTTTGTTATCTGATGACAACATGTGATATTATTGATGCTATGGAGCTCGATAACTAATATTATTGTAAGTTAATGAATTATTAGTCAGTTAAGTTTGATAAAAACTTAACCACATGAATGAAATTATCATTAAAATATATGGCGTAGCGTTAAATAAA